TCCCTACACAGCTCAAGAAAAACTGCTGCAAGGATCTTGACTGAAATTTTGAAACTATGTCAGCGAGTAATGCCACTCGTATGGATTTGCTTCTTGAACATTTTTTGAGGTAATGTGAACTGGGCCTATAGTAACCAAGAACTGGAAGTCACTGGTACCAAATGAAATAAATATTCTAAACAAAACTCTAGGCCACATTCAGATAAGGATCAAGATGTCTGTGAAATGTCCACAGCCTGTCTCAGTTTTACACTGGAGGGAAGGGCACAGTTTTGATCTGAATTTCAGAGAGTCTGCATAGTAACTTAGCTGTCTCATCTGTTTCCTGGAAAGAAACTGTTCATAGAAACTCTTAACAGTTTTGAGAATCCAATTTGATGAGTAGCACCTGAGCTGCTAGACAAAAAGAGGCTGCTATGCCATTGCAGGTTTTTTGCACCAGACCACATTTAACTCAGTTTAGTGGCTCTTGGACATTTGACTTGCCTTGCCACGCCACATGGGTTATGTACATAACTAATATCAGTAACTTTTGTTGTGACTGGGACAGTAAAAATGTTGCACTGTTAAACACCAGAGCATCTACTACCATAATAGTTTGAAGGGTTGACTCCATCACCTCTTTGCTAGGTTTCATGTGCTTCCTTATGAAAGCTGACATCCAACTGTGGAAATAAGACTTGGCCTATCCATGCAGAGTGAACCACGGTGAACATAGATTCCAGTACATGTCCAGCTGTCTGCATTTAAAACAAACCAACCAACCAACCCCAAGCAAATCAAAACAAAACCCAAACATTTCAAGTGATTTGTAACTTGCTTACTTAGCGTTAACTTCTTAGAGGCTCAGTAATGAGTAACTAAGAAAACAGAATTCCATACTGCTGTATATGGGCGTGCAGATAGGCAGTGCACCAGTGCCAACTTTTCCTGCATCTGTAGCTATTTTGTAGAAGCACGCTTTGCCTTAAATTCAGTAGAGGAAGCACCTGTGGATAACAGCTGTACAGGCTCACATCACAGGTGGAGTTCACAGAGACCAAACAAGCTAAACTGCTGCTGACGCTTTTCGTTAGAGATCTTTGGTGATGGGTAATTAAGAGATGTCAGCCCAGCAATCCGGATTACTGTCACTGTTTTAAGTTACGTTAGCACTAGGTGGGGCTGTTGCTCCACGTACTTTTAACTGAAAATTTATGTGACACACCCCTGTGACAGGAAATCAAGGTGTTTCAGTGGAGGCTATCTGGTTTCTGCTGCAAGTCTAAAGCATCTGGCTGGGCTGAAATGTGATAGTGAGTTAGATGCATGAAGCAAGATCTCAGAATCCTTAGAAGCTGTAAAAAATAACAGAAAAATAAACACCAATTATTTTAGTAGTAAAAGTCAAAATAATCATCTTGCTGTATAGCATTCAAGAAATACACACTGTTCCTATGCTCTTGCACATCCCTAACTCTCCTCTGGTTACCATCACACACCTGGGAA